GAGAGGAACAAATATGCCCCAAATTTTGTTCACAGGAGTATACTTTACTCAATTGTTTAAAGCTGTAAATAGCTCAAAATAAAAGTTTTCTTGACTCTGAAAAACAAAACAAGGATTGGCAACATTTTAAGCAAAACATTAAAAAGATTATTGTAGACTTCTATTAGTTTAGTCAATGCAGTTAACTCCTGTTTGATAGTCATGAACATTTCAGCTCTCCATGAGAGTCCTGAAAGTTTTTTCCTCTATTCTGATGTCACAGTCTCCAAAGTTATCAGAAAATCTGCATTCAAGAACATCTGCTAGAGTTCTATAGTTGATTATAAATCACCTTCTAAAGAGGACCAAAACAAGACAACAATTATCTGTGGATGACAAAACATCTTAGGAGAGCCACAGTTGAAAACATAGTTGACAAAGAAATTTGGCTACCTCTGTAGCATACAATAATTTTATGTAATGATTATAATTATTTAAAAACATACACTAAGTCATTTTAGAATTATAAATTTCCCATAATTTTGGAACATATACCAATAACATATTTATACAAATATAGCCCAAAGAAAACAAAACGCTGTTTTACATTTGATAATCCTTCCTGTATGACTTTATACTAAATAAACTAAATGTCACTGTTTGCATTAGTGCATTGTTGGTGTCAAACCAAATTCTTAATAAAATCTTACAGACAAATGTATTCAATCTTAATCAGTTTGACCGTAAGGTAAGATTCTCATAAACCTTTTATAACCCTTTACAATTTTTGTTAAAGAGCAGATTAAAAGGAGGTTTTTGCTCTAAGGAAAATCTGTTGTGTTTTTATTCCAGTGTATGGAAACACTGAATAATACCCCTTTAACTTTAGCCAGTATGTTCACACACAGAATTTTTTTTACAAGATTAATTTTTCACAAACCGTTCACAACTTGTTTAAGCCTTCAGCCTTATTTTATCTAACTTAAAACAATCCTTTAGCCAAAAAGTAAATAAATCCATATTCCCATGACTTCTTATAATCTTTTACCAAAAGTATATTCTACTTTCCTTACAGGCCTTGTGTGTAGACTGTTTGTCAATAGTCTCAATTACATGTTAAGTGTTAATTCTTAATGACTTTTACTTTTGGTAAAAACCTTGGTAAGTATGGGATTTTAATTATGTACTAGGTGTGGAGCCTGGGACCCGGACAGAAGTGCATATAAGGTCTGACTCTTTCCAGAGTCTCACTCCACATGTACCAGGCCTTACCTAGCTGTAAAACAGGCAAATTGTACAGTTAAGAGTCATAGTGGCATTTTATGAAGCCTTTAGGAGGCCTAATCACCTTTAAATTGTACATTTCTTGCATAAATTCCCTTTCATAAATTATTTCACAACTTACACAGACAATCTTTGACATACTTGGACTTTCCCACTTGTCCTAAACATCTCTCTTTTTAAACAACCAGTTATTTTACTTTAGGACAACAATTTACATACGAGAGCATTTCTTACATAAAATTTCTATTATTTATAACCTTCTTTGCCTAGCTAGTGGTCATGGTTAATTTCACATATCTCCAGGCCTTATCTAGAATCTAATGCTCCAAAACAAATTGAATAATTTTAAAAAGTTAAGCAGTTTATGACCTTAAAGTATTTAGCAAACTTAATATCTGACCCACATAATTTAAACCCAATGTTTACATTTTTGAAGATATTTTTATTTACCGATAATGTTTAAAACTGTCTTTATTTCCCAAATATTACTTAAGTCACGTGAACTATATGAAAGGCATTAAACATTACTTTTCTGACAAAATATTTGATTAAACCAGTTAATCAAAGCTCTTTCACATATAAACATCACACACACAACACATATAAATACACAGAGAGAAGATAGAGGACTCATTGCCTAAGGCAGGAATTGAACCCTGAACCCAGGCCACCATTGTGATGGCAGAGACCAAGAGAAAGTACTGCCACATGGTTACAAGGTCAAGCTCCCAAGGACATACAAAAGGGAAACCTTATCCAGTTTTTTTCAGGGACCTGCAACAAAGTTTGTAACTGACAGTTTGCTGGGCCATCTTGAAAAGCAGGCTTACAGGTGCCCTAAACCCATGTTCTATCCTAAGGTACTCCTGTTCATGACACAACAATACAGAAAGACACACAAAGTACACCAGATTCACTACAGCTTAAGACTAGCCTCACAATTCCTTTTTCCCATAATCAAAACTTTGTAGGAGATAAACACTAATTTTTACCATTCATTCAACTGGTTTGCAGAGAGAGAAAAAGAAAAGAATTGCCTCAGGCAGGTTGGGGAAGGCAAAGAGTTCAGGGAGACCAGAGAAAGACCTACCTGTTGTTCAAAAGTTCAGGTGGCCACTTGTTGGTCACAAAGGGATCTTTTCCAGGAGTTCCATCAGCTCTCAAGGTTTTCCCGTTTTGGGGAGGAAAAAGCTCCCCATGTCATATGTTCCTGTACATGCCTAATCCTATCACCCATAGCCATCAGCAAAGAGTACAAGGCAGATTAATCCAAAGAGAATAGCAGTTCACATCCCACAGTACCAAACGTATTCTTAGCCAAAAGGGATTTTACTGAGAGAGGCCTCTAACCCCTAAATCTTATAAGGAACCCTAACCCTCCTAAGTTGGGCCTCTAACCCAAGGTTGGCCAAGCATCCTTGCCTTTTATTAAGGGGGGACTGTAACCCAGTGTCTTAGGAGAGACCCTGACTCCCCTAAGTTGAGCCTCTAACCCAATCCCATTATTTACCTGGGTACCCCACCACTTACCCAAAGTTGGCTGATCAGTGTTGCAGTCCATTTCCTTTGGATTGGGGAGTTTCTTCAGTATCATCCCTTTGGGGTTTGCCAGAAAGATGTTACCAGGCGCCACCACTTGCCCAAAGTTAGCCTTTCGGCTGGGGGTTTCCTTATTATAGTCCATTCCATGGTTGCCAGAAAGATGTTAGAGAATAGGAGTCCTGATCCAGACCCCAAGAGAGAGTTCTTGGATCTTGTACAAGAAAGAATTCAGGGTATCCATAGAGTAAAATGAAAGCAAGTTTATTAAGAAAGCAGAGGAATAAAAGAATGGCTACTCCATAGACAGAACAGCCCCATGGGCTGCTGGTTGCCCATTTTTATGGTTATTTCTAGATGATATGCAAAACAAGGGGTGGATTATTCATGCCTCCCCTTTCTAGGCCATATAAGGTAATTTCCTGATGTTGCCATGGCATTTGTAAACTGTCATGGCACTAGTGGGAGTGTAGCAGTGAGGACAACCAGAGGTCACTCTCGTGGCCATCTTGGTTTTGATGGGTTTTGACTGGCTTCTTTACTGCAAACTGTTTTATCAGCAAGATCTTTATGATCTGTATTTTGTGCTGACCTCCTCTCTCATTCTGTGACTTAGAATGCCTTAACCATCTGGGAATGCAGTCCAGTAGGTCTCAGCCTTATTTTACCCAGCTCCTATTCAAGATAGAGTTGCTCTGGTTCGCACACCTCTGACAGTTCCACTGTAGTGTGATGAACTCTTGGTTGGTCACTTGTGCAAATCATCAGATATGTGCTTGCTTCTGTTCACAAATCCTAAGGAGATACCCACTGATAGATACACAGCATCCACTCATGTAGTGTCTGAATCAACCTTCCTGCTCTGTCGGGAGAGACCTTTTGGATAAAACAACCTCTTAACAGTAGAGAAAATCCTTGCTAGCTACCAATATGTATCAATCTAGTCCTTTGTCAGTAAAAAAGAATGGATCGCCATGGATCATTTAGACATTTGAGGCAAATCAATATCATGAAAGTGGAGAATCAAGTTTAACCAAATGAATGGTGGTGGCAGAAAGGCTAGCTGTCTGCCAAAGATTAATGATCTCCATTCATGGCATAGAGCTTTCGTGGAATCAAATGCCCAGCCAGTGGCAGCATTTCCCAGACACCTTCACCGCCAGGTAGAGTCATGTGACTAGCTCTCACTAGAGAGCTCTGAACCACATTTAAGCAGATGTGGTAAGAGTCATTTCTTGGCCAAAGTAATCAAGAAGGTAGTTTGTCTTTCCCACTTACTTCTTTCCCCATAGCTTCTGCACTTACTTCTTCTACACAAATATCACCTCCTCAGTGACCTTCCCTGATATTCCTAAATAAAATAGCTCACACTCTGCCCTTGCTGTATCACTCTTAATTTAGCCCATTGCCATGCTTTACTTGTTCTTATAGCACTTCTCACCATGTGATTTTTGATTAAATATATCTGTTTATGTGTTATAAAAAATCTGTCTTCCCCACTAGAATAAAAACTCCATGAGGGCAGGGTATTTAAATTATTGCAGCTATATCCCAGCCTCTATAGCAGTGCTGCAACCTATCAAGCGTTCAGTACATAGACAGAATGAATGATTAAAGCTTTGATGGTGATGAAATGCATGTGCCTCAAGAAGGAGTATCATATCATTCAGTTTTTAGTTAGGTATCAATACTGAGGTTGTCAAGGGGTGCTAGAGGAACTCAAGGATAGTTTTGCATCCTTCACATATAAATAGACCCAGTGGGGTGAGGCTTTTAAAAGTCTAAGGCTACAATTTCCAGGTAAGTATATTGACAAGAGTTGAAGGAAGGTATTGAATTTTTGCTGCACCCACCCTTGTTCACAGTGGTCTGTGGGCTCTGTCACTTCCATTACAGTTCTTGGCCATAATGAGAAGCTGCAGGATGCTTAAGTACTCTCTGAGGGATGCTGTTTTGTTCAGCTTTCAAACCATAGAAAAGTGTGAAAATTAGGTCACACCTCATGAAATTTAAATAACAAAACATTCTACCTAGCTTTATAATACCCTAGTTCTCCAACTGCTATATTTCATTATGCCTATAAATGGGAATTATTATTTTTGGTTTAGTATCACAACTTGAGGTGAATTTCTGCCCACCCCTATCCTTGGCCATTGTAGGGGAACTGACATGTTTTATTATTTATTCTTGCTCCTCAGAATGGATTGGGATGATGAATATTCTCATAATTCTTTTGACCTACATTGTTTGTTAAACTCATTTCCTGGAGACTTGGAGTTTGAGCAGATCTTCAGTGATATTGATGAAAAGATTGAACAAAATGCTGCAAGGTAAATATTGTTAATTATTTAAAACAAGTTGTTTTCACATTTCACTTATATGAAATTTACCTGGTCTATTTGTGTCCTGCTCTTAGATAATTTTAGGTTTTAATTGTCATTAACTTTCCCCCAAAATATTGATTAGACTCCCTCTCACTTAAAGTTTACATGGTTGTCTTTATCTGAGTAGCATTTTTAAGACTAGAAAATATAAGCACTATCTTGAAGTAGGCAATTAAAGTTTATTAAATTGGCACTAATGTTTTCTTAGAGCTTGTCAATATTGATGTTCTGAATTTTCATTAATATGGTTAGAGTGTAAGGCCATGATTGCTTGAGTTACTAAAAACAGAACATTAAAATTTTTTTGCATAATATTTAACATTCTTTCTCACTTAAGTAGGAGGCTAGAGACTTTATAGAGAGTTGTTATACTAGATTAGTCATCACCTATCCCAAAAAGTCGTGTTACCAAATACTGAGGGAAACAGTGACAGCTAAATGGTTTCTCATTAATACATGTTCTTTGGTAGAAAGGACTCTGTCTTCATATGTAGTTGTGGACCCTATAATCAGGCAGTTACTTATTTGCATCATTTTGATCAACGGTTCTACTTTACCTCATGTAGGTTACAAATGTGCAAACCACAGTAAAAATTTATATTGTGTAATGATACATAGCATTTCCTTTTTTAAAATTTAAGATACAGTTACATTGAATTTCCAAAGAAACTGAAACAAGTAAGTGAGATGTTCCTATGATATTTTTCCTTCTGCTTTACATGAGAATAATTAGTTCTTTATTATAACAATGGGCATAAGTAAATTGAAAAGATAGCATATTATTGGAGAATTATACTTAAAAACATCTCCCATCCCAGAAATCCTCTCCATGAAGGTAGTAGAGAAAGGAAAAAGAAACGCTTTTATTATTGAATTAAAAACCAGAATATGATGTGCATTTCAGGCAGTTCACTAAGTGCTTGTAAAAATGGAAGGGAATCTCACCCCTTTAAATAGCGAAGCAGACACAGCCCATTACATTACATGTTATCAAGATAAGCAATCACTAGTCCTCAGGTAGGAAGACTGGATAGCACATTTTGTCACACATAGTTCATCCTAACTTTTTACCATGGTAAATTAGTGTTAGCTAATTGGCTTTATCCTGAGGAGAAACAAACTTTTTTGTATCTTTATAACTGGAGATCGTTTTGCAAATTGGAACAGGCAACCACTGAAGTTAGGCTCTTACTCTCTCACAGGAACTGGGAGATTGGGGAGCTATCTCCCTTGATGCTTGCATTTCAAAAAGATAGCTCCCAGTTTCTTGAGAAGGGCATTCCTGGGTCACAAAGCTGACAAAAGGACTGCTGACAAGTTTTCCAAAGAATAGATACATGTCTTCCTAGTCTTCCAAGGAATAGATACATGGCAAAAGATGAGAAAGTACTTATGATTACAGGCTTCTCTTTTTTCTTTTTTTTTTTTAGTCACCCAGGCTGGAGTGCAATGATGCAATTTCGGCTCACTGAAACCTCTGCCTCCCTGGCTCAAGCGATTCTTGTGCCTCAGCCTCTCAAGTAGCTGTGATTACAGGCACCTGCTGCCACACACAGCTAATTTTTGTATTCTTTGTAGAGATGGGGTTTCACAATGTTGACCAGGCTGGTCTTGAACTCCTGACCTCAGGTGATCCACCCGCCACAGCCTTCCAAAGTGCTGGGATTACAGGCGCGAGCCACCATGCTTGGCCTATGATTAGAAGCTTTCTAAGGTAAATGCTCTAAGGAAAAAGGAGAGGAGGGAAATCTTTTCCCTTATTTTCAACAGGGAAAATTAAACTTTTTATTTTTAATTTGTATTTGCCCTTTATACTATACCTATACATATACACATTATATATGTATTTTAGAGATAGACAACCAAACTGAGAATGTATAGTTGATATTTCATATAAATATAAAATAAACTTTAGGGTAATTATGTATTTATATAACTTTCATGTTATATATTTATGTATTTTATGACACAGTTTCTAACTCAAAGAAACTTACAAATGAAAATAGTATTTACTTAAATAGATTAACAAGACATTACCTAAATTTCAGAGATGTTTATATTTTTAAAAATTGAACTATTTTTTAAAAGGTAAACCTTTTCCTTCACAATGGAACTTAGGCTCCATCAAAATAAAACAAGTCACTGAACTCTGATGCTTTTGTTCTGGATTGCTTATTTTTATTTATGAACCATTTATACTTAATTTTTTGCCTTACCTAGTCAAAAAGAAATCATATTTAAAACAGTGATTAAAACATTGTATTTTGCATTAAAAAATAGTTATTAGGTCAAAACTCAGATGTTAGTATTAAAAAGAAAATACAGTATGGAACATAGGATATAATTTTTAAATTAAAAATATTTTATTGCCCATATATTAAAACGCACCTAGAGCAGAACCACCTCAAGTGACCATTGATCTTCACAAGGGACAAAATAAGGAAGTAGCTGTATGTGCTGTATGCTACATTTAGAATCAAGTCTATTTTTCATCAAATTCAATTATGTTTTCATTATACTCCAGAGAATAAACATAATAGTATAGAGTATATATATTTTTAAAAATAAAATACTGAATAATAACTGTGGTTCAGAAGAGTATAAATCATTTATGCGCTCATTTATTGCCTTCTAACAGAATAGCTTTTAGAAAATTGTATGTCATGACGAATCAGTTATGCCACACTTACACTGCAGTAGTTGAATTACCCTTGGCATTTTTGTATTCTAACAGTTCTATTTATCTCCCAGTAGTGTACATTGAATAAGTAATGAACATCTGTATGGTATAGGTTTTCCTCCATAGTTTTAAAAGAAAAAAACAACATTAGTAATTCATTTTAAAATACGATAGTTTTTTCCTTATACTTGAATTTTTAAAGTAGCAGTGACCCTGACATCTATTTATGAATTCCTTCTCCCTCCTTAATATCATCAGGTTTTATGAGCCACAGGGTCTATTGCTTCCCCAAAGCAGTGATTCACCAGAATGGACCAGTGTGCCCAAAGGTCACTGAACCCTCACCTGCCCTTCAAGAGAGGCTGTCATTCTCAGACCACTTCACTTTTACATTCTCCTTTCCATTCAAGTCAGACCTGGGTGACTGATAGGTCCCACAGCAGAAATTAGTGATAATGAATCATTTATTCAAACACATATCAAAATAGGTAACAAGAAGTAAATAACATGCCAAAGAGAAACATTATGAATGTTGTACCTGCGTATCATTAGTTCCCTAACTGAAAACTGCATACTTTAGCACTAATGAACTGAGTGGTACTTACTAGTTTTACAAAATATTGAGGTACAGAAGTTCTTCTGGGCTCACAATATGACACAGCATAGGCCGGACGCGGTGGGCTCATGCCTGTAATCCCAGCACTTTAGGAGGCTGAGGTAGGCAGATCACAAAGTCAGGAGTTCGAGACCAGCCTGGCCAATATGGTGAAACCTCGTCTCTACTAAAAATACAAAAATCAGCCAGGCATGGTGGTGTGCACCTGTAATCCCAGCTACTCAGGAGGCTGAGGCAGGAGAATTGCTTGAACCCAGGAGGCGGAGGTTGCAGTGAGCCAAGATTGCGCCACTGCACTCCAGCCTGGGCAACAGAGCGAGATTCCATCTCAAAAAAAAAAAAAAAAAAAGACACAGAATGATTTTTTCCCCCTTAATGTTCAGTTGGATAAATATAATTGTATCTTAACAATTTACTTTACTTTTTCATTTCCTAATTATAGACAACCTCTGTGTGTATCTTAGGAAGTAAGTTTTGCTGGTACCAATGCCGCTGGACTACTTTTTTTTCTTTCTTTTTTTTTTAATCTAAGGAAAGATGTAATCTCAACACTTTGGGAGGCCAAGGCAGGAAGATCACTTGAGAGCAGGAGTTTAAAACTAGCCTGGACAACATAGCAATACCCCATCTCTACTGAAAAAAAAAAAAAAATTAGCCCAACTTTGGTTGGTTGCTCACCTGTGGTCCTAGCTACTCGGGGGGCTGAGGTGGGAGGACTGCTTGAGCCCAGGAATTTAAGGGTGCACACGCTATTGTACTCCAGCTTGGGCAACAGGCTGTCTGGAAAGGAAGGGAGGAAAGGAAAGGAAAGGGAAAGGGAAATGAGGAAAGGAAAGAAAAGGAAAGAGGGAGGGAGGACCCGAGGCAGGGAGGAAGGAAGGAACAAGAAGTGCTACCAGGTCGGGTGGGGGCTCATGCCTACAATCCCAGCACTTTGGGAGGCTGCGTGCCATGTGCAGATCTTTTGAGCTCAGGAATTTGAGACCAGCCTGGACAACATGGCGAAACACTGTCTCTACAAAAAACAAAAACAAAAATTAGCTGGTGTGGTGGCATACCCCTGTGGATTTAGCTACTTGGGGTGCTGAGGTGGAAGGATCCCTTGAGCCTGGGAGGTTGAGGCTGCAGTGAGCTGTGATTGCACCACTGCGCTACTGCCTGGGCAACAATGTGAGCCCTGTCTCAAAAATAAGAATTGCTACTAGCAATAATACTATTTATTTGACTTCACCTAGAAAATGCAGGGAGAGGGGAGACATTTAACCATGTCTATTAATGAAAGGGTACATATTCCATAGATTACACTTATTTTTTATATAATGCTTACATTTTTTGAGCTTCCATATTAAAAATTTGCTTTCAAGTTTTCCATATGATGGTATTTTATGACTATATAGACACACAGACACACACACACACACAAAAATATTAATATATTTTATAGCCAGAGCAAATTATACAAAATGAAAATTAGTCATTTCAAAGGTTTTACTGTGCATTATTATTTCTGGCAATATTGTGGCACTTATTTAATAATAAGTAGATGCAAATTAATATTTGCAATCATTTTTGTAACTTCCTGTGTTTGCACTTCAGTTTTGGGTTTCTTCATTATACACTACATCTCACAGAATCCCGACCTCTTCTCCC